CTTAGACTCGTTGGCACTCTTAGGTGAGCAGACTTAGTCAGACTGTGTTGCCCTAACAATCTGACACTTGTAGGAGTCTCCAGAATTTACCTGGACTCCTGGGCTTCTGGTGAACACCTACAAGGTATATAAACAGTAGTATAGTGATGCTGTATCCCTCAGATTTGATCTCTGAGGAAACTCCTTAGTCTACAAGCAGTTTCTAAGTCATCTCATCATCTTGAACCCCCTTCTACACACACCTGAACACCCTGCTCTCAGAAACCTGCCTTGACTCCACAACTCTTGCTACACTTTTCAGCTATCTATAACCAACTTATAACACCCCCTGGGACCCCCCAGTGACCCCCTTGGACCCCCCCAATAATCCAGCTGGCCCTGGTGACATGGATATCAACTAGTACTGCTGGTTAGAGCTGCTTTCAACCACAGTAGACCCCCCAGCATTTCATCTATTGTTTGGGATTAGTGTGTGGCGACCTTGCTAGACCTAGTGCCTTCACAAAGGGTGACCAAGAGAGGCTTGCTCATCATTTGCTGGAAAATGAATTCATCTTACATGTGCATGTAGGCAATACTGAGAGCATGGTGGCCACCTGACACTTGACACAGATGGCACAGGGGATATTCATATCCCCTTCTGCTGCCACATATATGGGTCAGACCTCGAGGAGAACCAGCAAGCCAGGTAATGCCAGCTGACACAAGATAAAAAGTATCACAATCCCGGCAATTGCATATGTGGCAATGCAGGTATGATCACTGTGTCAGGTGGAATTTATGGGACACTGACAGGATTGTAGGCACACCTCGCTCTCTCTTCAGATGAACAATTCAATTCTCATGGTCAAGGTAACTTCTCCTACCACAAGTTTTACAATACTATTATCAAGGTCTTGCAGTGCAACATGTTTGCCCCACACCTGAGTCATCTGATGGAGGTCTGGAATATGTGAGATGCATTGCCCTTGGAATCACTGTAGTGCCATACTGACACAACCAATAG